CCCAGAATGAGTCTGTAGGACCCAGAATGAGCCTGTAGGACCCAGAATGAGTCTGTAGGACCCAGAAAGAGTCTATAGGACCCAGAAAGAGTCTATAGGACCCAGAATGAGTCTGTAGGACCCAGAATGAGCCTGTAGGACCCAGAATTAGTCTGTAGGACCCAGAAGGAGCCTGTAAGACCCAGAATGAGCTGTTTTTAATGAATGAATGACTGAATTAATTTAATAATTTGTTTTTTATTTATTTATTTATTTATTCATTTATCTGTTCTGTTTGTTCATTCGTTTATTTTCTTAGTTTTTATTTAGTCATCAATTTTTTAGTGATTATCTGTTCATCCATTTTATTTATTTATCCATCAATTCATTTTTGTTTATTATTTTTACATATATTTATTCATTAATTTGTTTATTTATTATCTTAGTCATTATTTATTAAGCAATTTTATTGTCTTTCTTTCTTTCTTTCTTTCTTTCTAACTATCATAAAAAAACACTGGATAAAGATAACTTTACTATGATTGTAAATATTGTGATAAGTGAGAAAAGAAGAACAAAGACGAGGCAGCTGACATCCAGCCCCCCGTCTGAGCTGAATCCTGATCAAACTCAGGGTCTAAACCAGCTTCTTTTCCCTCTGTAGTGGATCCGGCTGCCCCCTCATGTCAGGAGGGAGCCTACCTGCCAAAGTTTCTGCCTCCGACCCCGGAAAATGGAGCCCACATCCACGCAGAGGTCAACAAAGAGCTAGAGATCCAAGTCAGAGCCCAGGCCACGCAGTCGGTGTAAGTCCAGGGATCTGAGATCTGGGATCTGGGATCTGGGATCTGGAATCGGGGATCTAGGATCTGGAATCAGAAACTGGGATCTGGGGTCTGGGATCGAGGATCTGGGATCTGGGATCTGGAGTTCTGGAATCAGAAACTGGGATCTGGGATCTGGGATCTGGAGTTCTGGGACCAGGGTTCCGGGATCAAAGCTATGAAACTTGATCAAAAATGAAAAAAAACTCTCCCTTGACGGAGGCTAAAACTATTAAACATTAACTATAAACCAAAATCACTCCACTAATGGGAGGAAATGCTAATTATGAAATGTTTCGGAAAAATAGGAATCACTTCCTGAAACAGGAACAGAAAATCCCTCCA